GCATTCCTTTAAAGAACATTAAACCCATTTAAACCCCACTTTTACTCCATTTCTTTTTATTTGCAGCAAAATAATTTCACAGAACTAGGTCTAGTTATATTTCAGGGTCAGCCAGTTGGATTCCTAATGTTTACTGCTCACTAAGAATTATGCTGCAATCACAGTTTTAATTCCTTCATTATGCAGATCTAGACATGGTAGTCCTAGAAACTTTCTTATTAAATCTGCAGGAATCAAGATAGCTGTCTCTAAAGTCAGTTCAGAGCTGAATAAATATTTTCATGATTTTGTTTTCACAATGTTTGTTACTATGGAAAAAAACTGATTCTTGAAGAGAAAGAAATAAAAAATTATATTTTCGAATGTGCCTAAATAATAAAGAAATAGAAATTTACTGGGCATTAATGTGAATGTGCATTTTTAAATGCTTTTGAATACCCAGTCTGCAAATATAGTATCTATAGAAATCAGGAAATTGCCACCAAATATTTTCTTGTATCAGGCCTCCCCTAAAATAGCATCTCCAACCTTTTTCCCCCACTCTGCTTATTCTAACGTTTTACCTTTTCTCAGAACAAAACCAGAGCGATCATCACTTAAAGGAAATTTAAGAAAGGGGTAAATACCCTGCAAACGCCTGCCGGGAGCCATGCTTGCGTGCACAGAGCCACCAGATGTCAGTGGAGCTCACACACGATTCATCAGAAACAAGCAGCCTCCTGCAAACCAACAGCAGCTCATGGAAATGTGTCTTTAAGAGGCACTGCCACCATACAAGTGCCTTCTAGATGAATCCAAAGAGGCGTTAAGCTAATATCACAAACTCCTTTCACGTCAAGTGTTTCCTGCTGCCCCACACATGCTGAATGCTAAAAAGCATTCCCAGCTGTAACTGGAGCAGCTTTCCCAGTCTCTTGTTATTCCCACTCTCAAATCAGCCATTAAAGCTTTTTACAGTAGCAGAGCTGTTATTTTTTTGGGAATCCCTGCTCCCCCAGGAGTACTCAAAGGGTATCATGATACTTTTGCCCTGGCAGATTGCATTGCCCCCCACTTACAAACAACTCCCTGACCTTCTGAGGAAGAAGTCTTTCCTCCCCTCATTTCTGCAGCATATACACTCTGCAGTGTCTCCACTGAACCTCATATTTTATATCAATGTATAAATTATAAAACATAGCTGACACAGGCCTTTAATACCTATGGCATGGAGTGCAAGATCAGATAAAACGGTGATGGATCACATTGGGTGGCAAAACATTTAAGGTCACTGACCCACACCAAACTTCCTGGTAAGCATTTCTGTAAGAGCCATATAAGCAGGTGTCTTAAAAATCCACTAATTACCTTGTGTAACAGGGATATTTGCGCTTCTTTAATTGAAATATTTCTTACAGAAAGACTGCAAGTCTGGGACAACAAGTAGGTAAGCATACATATTCTCAAGAATAATCACCCCTTCAGATTTACACAATTGGCCAACATATGAGCACTCTGTTACAGATAGTTGGTGAAAGAGCCAAGCACACTGACGGGTCTACAGCAAAAGAATGTACAAAATAGAAAAAATTGCAGACACACATCCTCCCCCTGCCTTCCAGTATCAGGTAAGCTTTATGGAACATTATAAAACACCAGAACATTAGAAAGACATCTAAACAATCTTTTTAATACAGTTTAAGTGTTCAGCAATGCACATCTTTAAAAGTAAATAACGGAAAATGTTTCTCAAAGTAACTGCATACAAATCTAAAAACATTTTAAGTAATGGTATTATAACAGTGTGCCTATGTGGCACATAAGGCCTGGCTGCCGTTACAGAGCGTGCCAGTGAGAGTACATCTGACCAGCACAAAGCAGATGAAGGTTGAGCGTGGCATGCATCTCATCCAGAAAGCTGTACAACTGAGCAGGCAGAACACCTGTGCCGTTTGTACAGCATTCAAAAGCAAACCTTGATTCAGCGCAAGTAGATACAATCCACTCCACAGCTGCTGGCCTAGAGGGCAAGGATTGTTCCTTGGCACCATCCCACAAAGAACATACTGATGTACCTTCGGATTTTTTCCAATGCATTCGCCAACCAAAAACGTCACAGAAAGCTTCAAAAGATTCAGAATGACTTAGGCAAAGCAAGTTACACACAGAAGATAACCATTTTATTATTCGTGACAAAAAGTCAGAATACTGAATACATCAGTATACCCGGGAACATTTTTAATTCCAAACAAATGCAACCAGTTCTCTATGACTTTCATGGACTTAAAAAAAAATAATAATCAAGGTAATTGATGACAGAGTATAAACAAATACAGAAATACATTTAGGAATAAAACCAAATGATAAGCAGTAGTTTCCAATTAAATTTTACCAAATCAATGTAGTGGTTTTGTTCAGAATTATGCTTGCCCAAAAACAAATAGGAAAATACACCTAAACTTCCAAATCCTAAATAAATGACAGTTTCTTGCAACTAGGTTACAAGTATAGCCTCTCCTACTTACAAGAAAAATGGTGTTACAGCTGAGGTTGGGGGCAGGGGAAGTACACACCCAAAGAAGGAAGAATGGGAATAAAATCCACAGCCACGTCCCAGCAACTTCAGCTAAAAATTGTAACGTAATCTTATAAGGCACTTCTGAAAATCCGTATCAACAATGGCAACAAAAGACCTTCTCTATATGTACAGGTGCAGCGTAATCCTGAAAATAGTTTCAATTATCTAGTTTTTACCTTAAGCACTTTGGGTATCAGACCTTCAGAAAAGGAATTACTATCACAAGCTAGACATTATGAATTGGAAATAAAACACACATTCTTGCAAATAAATCTAACATTTGTAATTTGCACAACATAAAAATAGTACACATGCAGCTGTTTATTTCTTCTTAATCATGCGTCACTTCTAGGCTCCATTTTATAACCTTAGGTCAGCAGTGTTCTACAACTACATGCAAGTTAAAGCACAATATACTTTACATTAGCAAAAAAAAAAAAATCTAAATTAAATATGCAAGTTGTGTATTAATACTACATCAACAGGACTAGCATTTAGGGTATCCAGATGATCTTTAAAAAGACAAGACACCCAAGCACCTGCTGTTCCAACTGAATGATAGCCCGAAGTTAGAATCAATGTTAATTAATCCTTAAGTGTCAGTGCCTCTATGTGAAAATTAAGTATTACTGGGCACTACAACTAACATAGCCCAGTGAAGTAAATGTACAGCTATCACTCAACATGAGTAATGGTGCACAACACAACCTCTGCATTTTATTGTAAGAGCAAGCAGTATGTCAAATTATTGACAAAGAACATGCCAGTTAAGTCAAATTCTGCAGCATAATAAAATTGTGCAATATAAAGAAAACAGTTAGCAATCACAAATGGTTACAGAACAACCCTCTATTTAATAAACACATTAACATAACACTTCTGATACTTTAGCTAATATTTACTTAAGAAATTTTATCTTATACGTATTGTAATTTGTTACTAATGGGCATCTGTTGCTTATATGCTGAAAATATTTGCATGCTTTTTGAATAATGCACCAGCAGAGTTAACTTTGTAAAGATCAACTGGCATTGTCTTATCTCTGATTTATTCTAATTTCCTGGACATGTGTCTCTTTTAAAAAAAAATAAATTCTGTTTTCCAGATAAAGTTTAAAGCTTTCAAGTTTTCACAGAAATTAAATACATCATGATATCGGGGGCGGGGGGGGGTAAGGGCAGGGAAGTGTTCTTAGATCTTATTTGCATCTAAAGATGCATTCGATGTATTGTCTATCATTAGGGATGTTTTCATTTAAATTCAAATAATCACAGGGCATACAAAGAAAACGCCTCACAGTTTAGGCCTCTTCAACCTTTACCTTTGTCCAAACAACTAAGGAAAGAGGCAGGGGAAAAAAATTAAATATAAAAAAAAAAAAATCAGAGAAACACCTGATAAATTCTTATAATTTCAGAATCGTTACTGAAGAAAACAAACAAAAAAAAGTTCTAAGGTGTATACAGCATATCATCACTTTTCAGTTTTCCTGAAATTTCCTCCTCCTACAAAGAAGAAAAAAGGAAAAGGCTCTGAATGTTTCCCTTCAAGATACAAACAGACTAAGTGCATGGAGAAAACTTCCTCTCTTCATTTTGACAGGTGGGTGGGGAGGATGGAGGGGAAAAATCAGGGGAACACCACACTCAGCACAGAGAATGACCCCAACTCTGATGCAACTCAGATACCAAGAGAACCTTGAGACAGGTCAATGGCATCTATACACCAAGAGCTAACTGAGAACAGCTTAATGGCTGTCTCTCCCATAAATGGGGATCCAAGTTTTTGGCTTACTGTTAGTAAACTTTCTCCTAACAAGAGAAAAATAATTCACACGCGAACTTTGGAATTAGAAACACAGAGAAGAATATGCTTGGCATCTTTGTTTTCTGAGCATCCAAACCAAGGAGACACCACCACTGTAAACCAGATGTTACTGCAAATGAAGTTTTATATATATATATATACACACACATAAATTGTAAAAGCATTCTGACAGAAAGGTTTGCCAAAAACATGATTGTCTAAATAAATATAACAAGAGATCCTGGAGGAAAAAAAAACGCCAAGTATAGTATCTGTATCTTTTTTTAATGCACTGAAGAAGCGCTTTCCTAACTGCAGTCTACTTATTATTCAAATAATTCTTTTGATAGTATCTTCACACTGTCTTTCTAGAGTGTGGAACATCAGAATCACAAGTCTCAACCAGCACTTCTGGTGGCAGATTTACTCGGTATTAAGGCCATTTTACCTTTATCATCATAATGCTGGAAAAAACCAACTTCTTCACAATATTGCCCACTTATTGCAGTTTTTCTTTTCTTTCAGTGTTATATGAACTCAGATCCTTTGTTAATGATATTCTAGCACCCACTTTACCAGATTTCCTTATCTGAAACTTTATCACAGATAGTGCTATGCTTTGGATACTTTTTTTGTTTCACTTCTTTGCTTTATTTCTGTCAGCAAAATAAGAGTTTTCATCATAATTATAATCTGGTTCACAAACGGAAGCACAGTAACTAGAATTCGGACACTTAGGCTGCAAATCTGTTCCTTCTGATTTAATTCTGCCAACTGGAATGAGGCAGCACCTACTTCTAGAGTAGACTGCATGGCCGGCAGCAATTAAAACATGAGCTAGACTGTTCTCCTCATACAGAACATCCACCTCTAATTTCATGTCAGAGCCATAGTGTTTAAAATGAAATATCAGACTTGGTTTACTAAGAAGCTTCTGAAACAGAAGTTTAGCTTCATCACTCCAGTATTCCCCCTTGGCAGGAACTGTATCATGTAAAGAGCAAGAATGCACCAAGCATGGTAAATAAGACAGACTTTCTGGAATAACTTTAAGTTTATGGATATCAGAGTAAGGGATGCTCTTCAGAAAGCCATAATCAATAAACTTAAGAACAACAGACTGACTTGTCACTTCACTAACTTCTGCCCTGTTCCACTGTTTGTCCAGTCCAAACTTGATCAAGCAGCTAGCACCAGGAGCCACTAGTTCTTTTGGCAAAGCTGGCAAGTCGTCAGGAAGGTCAGAGAGCAGCAAAGACAAGTTTTTCATGCAATCAAATAAGACTTCAAACTGGATGCAGAAGTTCGAAGGATCAGTAACTGCAGTTGCAAACCCAGGATACCTTCTGCCACTCTGCAGCAGCATCCATGTGATTGAATTTATCTTGAATGATGTATCAAACTCCTTACACTTTGTATTATTGGATTTTTCTGGTCCAACAATAGTCCGACAATGACTTAAGATCTGGTTCAAATACTCCTGAAGCAGAATTTCCCCTATTAAAATATCTACTTCCCAGATATGAGAGGATTCCAAATATCTCAAAAACAAGATCCTTATTTCATGATCCAGGAGTGCATTTACTACATGGACAAATTGAATTTTCTTCATTTTTTTAAACCAAACCCATTTACAAACCACAGCTTGTTTAGGAATACTTTTAATCTTGTCACTGAGCATCTTTGCACTATTTAAGGAGACCATCTCACACTTGCCATAATCCATGAAAAAAACTAGCATTAACTTTTCCCTGACAAATTTCTTTATCACTTTTGATCGATACCACTTCAAGTTCCTTTCAGATTTTGTCATGCATTCCAATCCTTCTTCAATGTCATCCACCCTAAGAAAATCACTTCTTTGTGCTTCTTTGACAAGCATTATGTTTAACTCACGCAATATTTGCAAATTTCTAAGTAACTGTACATGAAATTCTCCACTCTCTGAAATATTAATTACTTCTGCGCCTTCTACCTGTCCCGAATTTAGATCTTGAGGAAGGACATTTAAGGGTGTTTTGGAAGTATTTTTCATCCTAATAGGCTTAGTTTTACTTTGACCACCTAAACTATTCCTAGATTTTCTCTCTTGAGGATTACCATTTTTAACCAGAATTTGTTTTAGCCTATTTTCCTGATAATGCATTGGTGTGTTCTGCCACCTTGTGCTGCCTTTTTTCTGCAGAAGGTCATTAGACATAGACTTTCCATCACAAATTACATCTATTTCCCACTGCTCTCCATGTTGCTGTAAGAACTTGCAAGCAACTGGCTTGTTATTTATTTCGCTTAGAAAATAGGAAGTACTTTCATTAGTCCAGCTTTCATCAGGAACACTTTTTACTCTGCTAAGGAAACAATGAACACTGAGCCTCGGCAAAGTTAAAAACTTTTTCTGAATTGTGAAGATTTTTGAAGGACTTACAACTGCTGCATTACCATAGTCAATGAACTCTACCTCAAAGGAGTTTCCCAATTGCAGAGTTTTAATAACTGCTCTACAGTAAAAACAATCACTGTCATGCTCTGCTACAATGAGATCCCCTACCATGAGCTCATCTAAGGAATTTTCATGACCTATATTCACCATGCTTTCATTTAATTCTTCTGCTAGTTGTATTATTAAGTTTTCATCCTCTGCAAGCTGAACATAGAAACTTGATGGACTATTCATATGAGAAATATAGCCTGCTACTTCAGAATTCACCCGAATATCACGTTGAGGAAGACTGATTAATTTAGGTATATTTTCATTAC